TTGAATTTGACTTACTGATGTGATCTCGTTACTATTACCATTATCTAGTCGTCACAAATTCAACTTTGGATTTTGTCGGTTATGGTTTGGTTGCGTTTTGTTCTTGCTGGTCGGTTAATTGTGGTTGTTGGTGGTTCTTTGCTTCGATTGGTGGTGTCGTATGGGGTGATTTTTAACTGGAATTGCTAGTGTTCCGTGGAAACTTCCGTTTCTGATTATAGTAACGCGTTAATTATTTAAATCATGTAATATATATCTTAAGTTCTTTATTACTTAAAATATTTAAAAGAAATTTAATTGTTATATATTGATATTTAAAAGAAATTTAATTGATATTTAAAAGTATATAACTCGTTAATTGCAGTAAAATTTAAAGAAAAATATTGACTGGCTATATACAATGTGTGAGATTTGTCAACGTCGTGAAAAATATACCCACAATCAAGACAAAAACATCATCCACTCTTTAGCTTTCCATGTTTGATCATTTGTAAGATGATTGTGATGTGTTTTGATGTCTCTTGCAATTTTTAGTATTTTCTGTATATGTCATTGTACAATTTGCAAATAACGATTATTACCATTAATAATTTCATTTTGTAAATTAGCAGCTAAATTTTTTAATTCATTAACCATTTGTTGAAACTGATCTGATGCGTCATTTTCATTGTTGGATAATATAAGCAGCAAAAGAGAACCAATATCAATATTGTTGTTCAAGTTCGAATCAATATTGCTCCAATTGGACTCGATTATTGATGATTTAGTATTAATATGAGCAAGATATATATAAGGATATTGTGTATACCGGCGTACAGAGGAAAGATGGATTGAATTACCACCTGCGACATCAACAAGATGCTTACACAACATGAATCAACTAACTAAATAAGCTGGACAACTGCATATCCATCTTTGAGTATCCGTATAATATTGTGCTGGTTGTGATATTATTTTTTTTGCCAAAAATCGCCAAGTTTTTTTGAAATCTTTTTTTCATGCAGCTTCAATACGATCAGCAAGAGTAAAATTATATTTGGTAATTAATTGTGATACAAAGTGACTGGTAATAATAAAAACAAGTAAATCAAGACGAGGACGATTAAACTGATATAAAAAATTATGCTTAAGTGATTTTCAATGAGCCTCAATGATCATTGTTGTACGTGCCAATGGAATTGTGGAACTAGTAGATCGTGCTCAAAGACGCCACCATTCCGGTTGATACCATTCAATCAAAGATATGTCCACAAATGCGGAAGATTATTATCAATACAGAAATTATATGTTGTTATTGTAGCAATTTCATAGATCGTAGATGGTGTTAAAAATGTTTCAGAGATATCAACGGGAATATTTGAGTGATAATTAAAGTGTTCTGTCATTAAAGTCAACACTTGATTATGTAAGGATGACGGACAGAAGTATTATGCATCTGTAGAAGGAATAAATGTGAGTTCAATAAAGCTAAAGATTTTATGTGTCACTTTTGAATCATATATTATTTTCTTTGAACACTCTTTATTTCGTAGCCTGCGCAAAACAGCACGACGCAAATGCCATAGGCATAATTGAACTTTTGCATCAGGCCAAACTTTTTTCATAGCATTGATCTGAGCAAAATCTTTATCGGTGAAGAGAAAGGAAGGCTTGACTTCTTGTTTTCATAATGCATATAGATAATCAGTCAAAGCTATAGTGCGCATATTAGGTGTAGTTGGTGAAGAATTCAAAAACAAGTATGATAACGGATAACCCACACCTTCGATGTTTACCATAACTGTATAAAGCTCGAACCTCACATTATTTGTTTTGTATGTGGCATCCATACATATTTCATCATATATACCATGTAACAATTGTAGAAATGGTGTGGTGAATGCAAATTCGAAAAGTCCATTTTCTTGATTGCTATATAGTAGAAGGTAACTTTCATCTTCTTGTAGAAGATATATTGCTGAAGTAAATTGATCATTATCATGATAGAAGAGTTTTTGGTGAAATGTAGACCACCAAAAATAGACCTGTTTTTGCGTTAAGGTATGTGATTGATATTGCAAATACTCTCAAAGTTATCTCGAAGTAAGATGAATATTATTTTTAATGAATATTGTAATGTTTTCGTTAACATTTTCTTTTGTAGCTGGACGTGAATGAAGCTCATGATGACGCAAGTGAAGATGCATAATCATATTTTCTGGATTAAGAATAAGTCGCAATAAACCATGACAAGTGAAATGCTCTTGTTTTGTATGAATACGCTTAGAATTTAGTACAGTATGATCTCGTTGAAAAGACAAAGAGCAAGTGTACCATCGTGATTGTTTTCTATTGATACCATTGTATTGACGTACATAATTCCACTTATAACCATCAGCGATTTGAATAGATTCAA